AGAGAATTACAAAGGGGGGGAGACAAGCTAGAACAAACTAACGGGGGACCGACATGCCCCTATTTCTCCCTGCTACCCCAGGGCCGTTAACCAAGTATCGACATGGCCCCGGGCATTTGCTTTCAGGCGCCCACGCCATAGGAGAGCGTCTTCCCGGCAGCACCCCAATAACCGGGCGAGAGAGGGCCGCTTTCTCTGAAACACAACCGCATTTTTATGTTTCCATAAGTGCCAACAACAGAACATGGTGAAATCTCGGGCAGAGCTGACGACCGAGCTCGCCGAAGAAGCCAGCCGATCCAGGCAGTCAACCGTCGCGCCATTGATACTGATGCCAACATGTCTCCAGAAAACCGCCGAAGAAGCCAGTAGATGAATGTGTTTAGTCCACTATCTTTGTGAAAGGGAAAACCGTGTAAAGCTTTGGAGCCCCACCTTCTATTGTTGACAAGGATAGAACGGTGCATTGATTGTCTTGTATCAACTTTAATAAAGATGACTGTGTGCATTGTAATGATGCAAAGAGCAACGGTTGTAACATGCTTTTTGAAAGAAAAAAATGCTGGTGCAATGCATACTTGATGAGACGCATGTAGTCATTACTTAACAGGGAAAACCGGCAATGGCATGCTACATGGGCTTGTAAAATGGGCAAGGTGGTGCCGCAACTTACGTAAATATGGATCAGTTGCCAAATTAAACTTTCTAACAAACAGGCAAGTAGATTACAGGCCACTGGCAGACGATCACGTAATAAGTCGATGAATGGTTCTCTAGTCAGAACCTAATCCATGATTAGCAACGTAATACGCAATAATGTACTCCCTCTGTAAGCAAATGTAAAATATTTTAGGTTTTACTAAAGTAGTGGTCTACAACATCTTGTATTTATTTACAGAGAAATAACTCAAAGCCTTTGGAACACGGCCTCACGGGCTGGCTCTACTTAAACCAATAATGCTAAACATACAAAGAGTTACACGCAATTACACGCTGACTAGGATTTTTTCATCTACTAATTAACCATGAACTTGCCACCCCCTGATTTTCAGAGAGGTGGGCTGCCTCCTCACCTATTGACCAATCAAATCATCTTTGTAAAACCTTGTAACTTGTTTATACATATAGCATTACTCTACTTAAACAGCCCCACCCACCATGAGCCATTGCCCTCCACCTCGCCTCTCGAGCCCCGTAGAAGAAGCACAGCAAGGTCTCCCTTCCTCCTCGGATCGACGAGGACGCGCGACGGTGAGCCCCTTCCCTCTCCGTCGTCTCCCCGGCCGGCATTCAGCTAGCTGATTTGTCTCTTCCTTCCTCCTCGGATTGGATTTACTCCGTCTCGATTGAATTGAAAACGCCGGAACTAGCTAGCTGTAGCGTGTGCTTTATCATCTCGCTGGAATATTTCTTCTTCTTATTATTATTCCTTCCGGTTGAGATTAAGCTAGTGTCGATCGTTCCTTTTTCCGACGGGGAGTTAAACAGGCGAATCAACTAATTAACCTGCGTTGTTGTTGATCTCGTCGCAGCTCCGTCCGCCATGGACGCCAAGAGGACTGCCGTCGGGCGCGCCAGCGTAACGGCGCTCGTCACCGCCTGCGTCACCGTCGTCGCCTACGCCTTGGCCACAGCGGCCGAGTACGCACTCGACCGCTACCACCTCTGCAGCCAGGTACCAACCTAGTAACCCGTCTACTCTGCTGTTAGGCTAGATGCATGCTAGACTTTCCGGCCGATCATCAGATCACACGCCAAACTGGCATCCCGGCCGTCTGAGTGCAGGCTTCCTTCCTCCTGCGCTGCGTCAGTGTGACGGCCGCCGAGTGGAGGGCCCTCTGGCTCGCCATGCTCTGCTGCACGGTGCTCGAGGCGGCCGTGGCGGCGCTGGCGCTGCGGCTCCCATGCCGCCGCCGCGCCCTCGCCTGCCTCCAGCTCGAGGTCACCATGGTCCGCCACTGCATGTGCGCCCGCGCCTTCCTCCTCCCCCTCGCCGCCGACCCGGAATATCTAGTCGGCACGATCTGCATCGGGTTCACCTTCTGCTTCGCAGCGAACGACGTCGCCAACTTCGTGCACTTTCTCCGTGGAGGTGACAACTGACAAGTGAGGATCATGCTCATGAAGTACTGCGATTAGTTTTAAGTGATAATAAGTACTATATGTGTGAATCGATTTAGTAGTATGCATTATGATCGAGTGCCATATGTGTGAATCGATCTGCTAGCTGCAGTGTGGTCTGTGGTGTTAACTATATTGGACCGATCGACTATACTAGTTACTCTATTTGGGCTGTATAATTAGCCTGGATCCTGGTCAGTATTGGATGTATGAGACATCAGTTATACATGCCATGCATGTTGTTTACGAAGAGATGTAGTTTCAGATGGATATACATCTCAGTTATAGCTTGAGATTGATCGGTTATATGCATTCCATTCCTTGGGCCAAATTAAAACAACTCTTCCTTGCCACTGGAGTCCTGCTGCTTGCCACGTCTAAGCTAGAGCAGATACGATCTTCCGTGCAAGTGTGCAAGTGCAAGCACAACGCAACATAGGAGGAATGGAATGCTACGGCAGATAGAAACGGCTAGTAGAATGCAATGCAAGAATGTAATGGCGCCGCAAAGCTGTTGAGCGCATTTGTAGAAACACTATTTCATGGTCATCGTCTATTTATTTATTTATTTTAATTTTGCAATAAAAACTTAGGATCTATGGCGCAAGACCCTTTAGGTTTTGGGGCAATCCATCCAACTGTCGCTGCTTTTCTCTTCTGATCTTTATAGGCTTTCAAAATGTGTTGTTTTCGTTTAGCAAGAAACTCTGTTCCGTCATGGAACCCTGTCTCCCAAGTTTGAGAGGCGCATGGAAGAAGAAGAGAAAAACAGCAACAGCAGTCCGAACCTCAAAGCTACACCAGTGATTTTGATCCATAAACTGGCAAAGTTTTCATATTCTGTTTCGGGGCGCAATTCAGCTCAGAAGGCATATGTTCCCAAACCCCAGCACTAACAGTCGGTTACTCAGAAAACAAGCCGGACTCTTTATTCAAGATTTATTTTCTCACGTTACAGATGTAGTACTATAATAGACAAGCCGACTGCTTTGCACCTATACAACAGGGTCACCACCACTATGCACATTCCGAGCCCTTGGAACCCTACGTCAGACGATTACCTCCACAAAAATTTCGCGCCCTAGGCTGGAGATCAGCCTCCACTCCCACTTTGGGACATATAATGGCACAACAATGAAACGACGGGATACATAGGATATACAAGCTAGCTACAGATCTCCCCTGATCACGTCAAGGGGCGAGCACGAGAACTTTAATGGTCCCCTGGCTGTTAGCAGTTAGCATAGTAGGGCTATCACTCTTCCAGCAGACAGCGCTAATGAAATAAGACCCGGGATCATCTTCGGCGTCGTCCGGGTCCGTGGACAGAAACCTATGGCTGGAAGCAGGTTTGGAGATAGCCTGCAATTGGTGTGGAGTTGGCTTCAAGTTAGACCGAGAGAAAGATTGATCTAGCTGCTCACTTAAGCAACAGCGCAGCATATGAAGCACGTGACAGGGGGAAAAGCATGTCAGAAGCTCGCAATTACCTTGTGGTAAACAAAAACCTCATTTGTTTCACTCCCGCAAGCAATATATTCGTTATTTACAGATAGTCCTACAAAGTTCTTCTCATTTTTGTGCCCTCTGAACGTCCTTAGCTGCAAGACGTTACCAGTTTAACATTAAGGTCAACTACAACATACTATTTTGTAGTACTGTAACAAACAAAAAAATTCCAAGCCTAGCATGGCATAGTAGCTCAACAAGGTCATTGGACAAAGCTAAATAAGAGATAATAGTGAAAACACATACTATGATCAATCACTCACATATGAGTTCACTTTAAAATGGGTCAATGAATAATGAACACAGTAAGCTAATTGTAAATCTACAGAAAAATGCCCTGATGTCACATGAACATTCAAATTTGCAAAGTTGACATTTCTATGCATGTCACTGATATTCTCTTGTCATTTTTCCAGAGCAAGAAATAATACGACATATAATTCTGGATTTGACCAATGAGGTATGGAGAAATTTAAAATACTATATATCTCCACTTTAATTACTTCTAAGATAAAGATCTTAGAGTACATCCAAACACGGAACTATCTCTATGTTGTTATACAAGCGCAAAAGGCAAGAATGTAATAAAAGCAAGGCTCGGATGATCTCAGAGACATACCGGGCAATTGTCCTTGACATCCCATAACCGTAACGTGCTATCGGTCGACGCAGATGCAAGCTCGTTATTCGATAAGAATTTCACATAAGAAACAGCTTTCTTGTGCCCACCAAAAACATGGAGAGGTGCACTTGGATTTCGTAAATCAAAATAATGGATATGGTGGTCAGCAGAACCAACCTGAAATATTGTAGGATCCCGTGAGTAAACAAATATTCTATTTATCATAATACAGATCAAGGAAATGGATGCAACATACCGCGACATAATAGCTCGATCCAGGATTATATTTAACAGAGCAAATATTTGCCTTCATATCAATGTTAATGGCACTTGCTTCCTGATTTGTGCACCACACTTTGACCTGGCATACACAGTAGTAGATTCCGATCAGTTATTACATAAGCACTATAGAACTGCGGTGCAGATATGCAACATTCAGAGGTTTCCACCTGATGACAAAATAACCCATTATTACCCACCAAGGGAGGGTACAGTCAATCTTCCTTCCTTATGGGAATAAAATAATAACTGATACAACTTGGCTCTGAAATACCTTGCAATCATCACTACCAGATACTAGCATCTTGGGCTCTGTACGTGAAAAATCAACACTCCATGCTCTTTTCTCATGCTCTTCATACTCCATCACACTCTGTCAAAAGCAGTACGCAGATAGCATAAATTACTGAGAACTACACAGAATTTTGCAAAATAAACTGTGGAGCAGAGGAAGGTTACCTGGCGGGTTTGAACATCCCAAACAGTAACTATGCCTTCATAATCACTACTTGCTATAACATTTTTTGAGTACTTGTTCCAGCTAAGGCAGCTGAGTTTAGATCTGGTAGCCATTTCAACAACTGGACAGTGGACATCGGATGGCTCATTAACAACCTAAGAAGCAGGATAAATCAGATTAGACTAACTCCAAATTTTGGTTACATGCTTATTGTGAGAACAAGTACCCTGCAAAAGTTTACTTACTGTAGAAAATTCAAAGACTTTAATACGCTTCGAGACTCCAGCAGTAGCGAATAGCTCGTCATCACGATCAAATTCGATACTGCGTTTAAAGAATATCAATATTGTCTTCATTTTTCATGTAAAGCAGGCGAATGCATAACATTAAGGGCTACAATGATAACAAATGCAGTGACTTGTGGATCCTTAAGCCAGAAAAATACTCAAATGATGCCAGCAATCAGTTTTTTGGTACATTTGTCCCTTGTTGTACACTGTGATGATCAGCAATAAACTTTCGTAGATGATTTTTTTGTTTTGGCTAACTGAACACCCTTAAAGTTGACGAATAGGAGCCTATAAATCCCTCACTCTACCCCTATGACGCCTTTGGAGCTCTGCTACAGCACTACCTGCCTCAGACAAAACTATGCACAGAAAATTACTCTGATAAAATTACTGATGCTGAATTTTTCTTAAACACTCACCTGGATACAATATTTGCTGAGTGGAACAGATCTCCATGTCTAAGTTCCGCAATTACACGTAAGCGACTGAAACATACATGAAACAGGACAAAAGCATGATAAGCTCGATGAACACCATAAAAATTACTCTGAGCATATTATGTTACTAAGAACAAATAATCAGCAGACCTATATCGAGTGAATGTTGTAAGCACAGACTGAAAATCTTCAAGACCTTCATGATAACCTTCTCTATTCATCGTAACAACATCCTCTTGTCTGTGAGATTGCGCTCCAGTACGCCGTCTTTGCAGGTAGTATTCTTGAAGTTCGTTAAACTGCAATTTAAGTCATTGCATTAGATAATAACAAATAGCATGGGATTAGCACGATCATTTCATGTAACACATTACAAAAAGATTGTGTGCCTACTACTAGTCTATGTTCTCGACTACTATTTTGCATATGGTAACCTGCTTGGTGTGTGCAACAAACAACAATAATGTTTGGACATAGAAGAGTACACATTTTCTTAAAGAAAGAGACAAACCTGCGCTTGAACTCGCCTCTTCCGAGCAATAACATTACTCGACTGTATAGGGGGATTGGGAGGGTCTGAGCTGGCAAGGGCATCTCTTCTTTGATGTCCTTGATGGCTTGCCGGAGCTCTCAAATCAAACCTCCTATTATTTAAACCCCCTGGAGATGATGTGCTAGGTGGTGCCCGAGAGTTGGGAACAAAGGGACTGCTAGGTTTCTCCATAGGCGAAGGCCACATCTTTGATGCAGCAGGTTCATCCAAAAGCATGCGAAGCCTCATGGAGTACCTTTCTTTTGTTCGATGCAGATCTAACCTATGTCTCTCCACACTGCTTATATCATCTTTGATGTACTGCAGGTCAGTTTGAATCTGTTTAAAAGGAACCAACATTATGAACAAGAATATACTTCATGTAAAAAAACTACAACAAAAAGTAAGTAGCCATTTTTCAATAAATAGCAAGATGAAACAAAAATCTGAGATATAAGATTCAATTAACATGTATGAAGAACCAGAAAATAAACGCTTATATCTATATTATTAGTAGTCAGAACAAACCTCATTCAACTCTTCAAGCTTTTGCTTTCTAAGGCAGTGCAAGAAAACTAGCAATATTTGCATATTTGTCTCTGACTCTTGTTGTTCCATTTGCCTCTTCTTCTCAGCAATCAAAGTCATAAGGCTGTCTAGCTCTTTAACTGACATGTCATTTCCCTGTAAATAAGATGAACTCAACTCAACATACTAGTGATATGTCATGATTCCTCGGTAACTTCTTTTAGTGTGTGTGTGTATAAATAAGAGCATGATAAGGGGTTTAAGAGTTATGGAAGTTATGTTGATAAGGGAAAATGGAGTGTTGCACAATGCAGAAGCCAGAAAATAAAAGCATGAATATATGACGCTCCTATGGCAAAAGTTTAAAAGTAACTAACTTGATCGAGTTCTTAGTCCAATAACTAACTAATTTGCAAATTTGTTGCTAATTTTTTATTACATATGCCATTTTGATCATGTTAGTACAAATTCATCTTTCGTGATGCTTGGTTTATCATCTGAAGATTTTCTTGTACCAGTGAGGAGAAAGATAGATAGGTGCCCCCCAAGGGAAACAGATGACTGTATGGCAGGTACAATTCGTTTGCTAACTTTCCTTGAAATATAATTATTATTTTTAATCAAAAGGAGCCTAACTGCCAGCTGCATTTCATCCTTGGTGTATACTTAGACATGGATTGGTGGTTACATAGATTCGGCAGTAGCAAAACATGCAAGGAGGAAAGTTTGTTCAGATACTTAGATAGGGATTGCATTGCAGCTACTTAGATTCAAGCATTTGATGGTGGACGCAGGAAGATAGCCTGTTCACCACAAAAGTAGTTGCAACCCGAAGATACAGCTAAAGGCGCATACAAGGTGAACATTCTAGTAACTATATTTGCTCAGAACAATGCATATAGCCATTATCTGCATACTGCAATGAACATTAAAGAAGCTGAAATTTGCAACTATACGCCCGGAGTGGCCAAACATTCACAGGAAAGCAACACATGTGGAGTGACTGACCTGTTGCACAACATGTCGGAATTGATCAATGGGAGACGCTGTTTTTGCAACTTGTCGGGCCGACATTTTCTTCACGACCTATGTAGCCACAAGTTAAAAAGCCCAGAACTTAGTGATTTTCGATGTAATGGCAGTTTCAATAAGCATGAACAGGCATAACATGATTGATATAGCTTGAATGTACCTAGGGAACCATACACAGAGACATATCAATTTCCCACAGAAAAAAGAGACATACTATTCAACTGTAACAAAACTAAAAAACCATCAAAGCCATAGCAAGCGTACATAACAAGCATTGTTGACAAGCAGAGCAAACACAAGTAATGCACACACACACATTTACTAGTGATCAAACCTGACATCTAGAATAAACTGCAATGCATCACACAAGTCAAATAAACAGTGCTATCTGACCAGGGCTCTTACCAATATCTGCAGAAGTACCAGCAAGTTTAGTTTAAAAAAATGCATCACACTTGAGATCCAGTGACTTGCACAAAACTAAGAGGGCATTGTATGGAGCAATCACCAAACAGTAAGTGTCACACTTGGGCAAGTCACTGGATCTCAGTCACACGCACTTTACTGTTTGATGATGCGTTTGATACTGTTTGTTGATTGCTCCAGACACAGCTAAAACCTTGTGATTTACACAAAACTCAAACAGGGCATTATATGCATTAGATTGAAAAAATTAAACCCGACTGGCATCACAACCCAAATCACATCCAAATGCAAGGACATTAGAACCCTAACATTTCTAAATTACACACACAAAGGTTCTGCCACACTTGGGTACCCAAGGACGCAGCCCAAATCGGTCGAATTGATAGCACAGTAGCGCAGAGTGAAGCAAGGAGCTGACCTTGTCGAGGAGGAAGTTGGGGTAGAGCTGCGCCTTGGTGAGGTAGTTGGCGCAGCAGGGGCAGTCGCTCTTGTGGTTGAGGTGCGTGACGATGCACATGTAGCAGAAGCTGTGGCCGCAGGCGGTGAGGAAGGCGTCCTTGATGAGCGCCATGCAGATCGGGCAGAGCAGGTCCCTGTCCCCCGCCGCATCCGCCCCCTCCGCCGCCCCTGCCCCGTCCCCCTCCCCCGGCGAGGACGACGGCGAGGCGCCCGCGCCCGCGCACTCGTCGTCCGCCGCCGCCGCCGCCAGGGCCTGGAGCTGGGCCGCCGGGTCGCCCGCGGACGGCGCGTGCTCCGGCTTGGGCACCGACGGCACGAGCGCGCCGGCGGGGGCGACCGAGGAGTCGCCCATGGGGGTGTGGTGGTGGTGGTGGTGGCGCCGCGGCCGGGAGCGTGCGAGGGGGGGATGAATAATTGCGTACGGATTGAGGGAGCGTGGTGGTGGTGGGATGTGTGATGGGGGAGGGAGGGAGGAGGTGGTGGAGGGAATTTGGTTCTGTGGGCGGCGAGACCCGGGAGTGGGAGCGGCGCGTATGGGTGGGAGGAGACCACGTCGGGGAAGAGAAGACCGACCCCCGGCCGTGCCGCCGCTTCCTCCCCGCCTGCACGCAAGGCCCACGGCGACAGGCAGGACGGCAGCCCAACCCAACCAAATCAAAATCGCTCACCCTCGCGGGGGCCAAGTTCGGTGTTGATCCGTTTGCGAAAGTTGGGTCAGATCTGACTCCGTTTCGGAAAAAATTCAAGATCTGATCATTTTCGTATCGCTGGGGATCGATGGCGGTAGGGTATACCAATCTACTGCCAAGGCCTTTGACGGTAGGTAATTTATCCACGTCGGCGCAATTTAGCTTTGCTGTCAAACAAGCTGACGAAAGCATGTGCAACCCTATCATCAAGATGGCTAGTGATAGTGAGCACAGGCATTGTATTTGATATTTCGGAGATTTTTACGGTAGAGCGTGCACCTTTACTGTCAAGAGTCTCAACGGTATGTTGTTATACCTTACTGTCGTTGTCTCCAGTGTTGGAAAATGGTCAGATCAGGGGGGAGGGGGAATCGTAGCCGGATCTAACTTAAGAGCAACTCCAATGGGGCGATTCAAATGGATGGCGATTTTGTCCGCTTTTTGTCCCTTTGAGTCGACCTCCGTCCTGTTTTAGATATGGGTTGGCAGCTCGCCCAATGCGTCGACCCATATGTGCCGGTTTGGCCGGCTGACCGCTCTATTTTACATTGATGAATTGCATTTAAATATATTGTCAAATAACATAGTTTAAACCGAATAAAATAGTATAGTTCACAAGCCGAATACAAATAAAAATGTTTCACATAGTTTTGCAAACGAATAAAAGAAGATACATCTATTGGTTGCCAACATGAGCCTACATATGCTCAATCAAATTATTTTGCAATTACACGTGAGTTTCACAATCACGCATGTCATGATGAAATTAGGTGAACTGTTCAAACGTTGCCGCTCCTCTATGCTCAAGCACAACATTCTCATCCTGAAACTGAAACCCTTAATTGTACAGACGTTCCGGGCGCTCGTCTTCTACGATCATATTGTGCATGATCACACAAGCAGTCATCACCTCCCACAGTTTCTGCGTCCTTCAGGTATTAGCAGGATACCGAATGATGCCCCATCGAGATTGTAAAACACCAAAGGCACGCTCGACATCCTTCCTAGCACTCTCTTGCTCTTGGGCAAATCTTTTCCTTTTCTCTCCGACGGGGTTGGGTATTGTCTTGACAATAGTGGTCCACTGAGGATAGATACCGTCACCCAGGTAGTATCCTTTATCGTAGTTGTGGCTGCTGGGCTGTTGTCTTCGGCAAGCCTAGCAAACACCGACGAGCGCTGAAGCACGTTGATATCATTGTGTGATCCAGCCATACCAAAGAAGAGTGCCAGATCCAGAGATCTTGAGACACCACGGCCTCTAGTATGACAGTGCAAGCCCTGACATGACCCTTATACTGTCCTTCCCAAGCAGAAGGGCGGTTCTTCCATTCCCAGTGCATGCAGTCTATACTGCCAAGCATCCCTGGGAAGCCCCTACTGGCATTCATCGCCAACAAACGGGATGTATCTTCAGCTGTCGGCTCTCTCAAGTACTCAGGGCCAAACACAGCAATAACAGTCTTGCAGAACTTATACAGGGACTCTAGGCATGTAGACTCGCTCATACGGATGTACTCGTCAATGAGATCATCGGACACTCCGTATGCAAGCATTCGAATGGCGGCAATGCATTTCTAATAAGGGGAAAAACCAATCTTGCCGACGGCATCCTCTTTGCACTTGAAATAGTCATCATAGCCGACCACCCCCTCTCTAATACGGTTGAAAAGATGCCTACTCATACGAAAACGACGGCGAAATTTTTGATGTTTGAACAGCGGGTTTGTTGTATCAAAGTAGTCCTTCCAAAGAAGGAAATGCCCGCTCTCTCGATTGCGATTCAACGCCGGAAGATGACCCGGAATGGAGCCACGGAATAACTGCCGCTGGCTGTTGAGGTGGTGATGGACCAACACGGCAGCCAATATATCCTCCTCGTCGTCGAACGACGAATCATCGGAGTCGCAAAGGAAATTGTGGAAAAAGAACTCGTCGACGGAGTCCATTTTGTACCTTGGCAAACTGTCAAACAGTTTGCGGGCGTTGACGAAGGAGACGACCGGCGAGGGGAGTCGCGGCGCGCACGGACCAGCTAGCTGCCCTGCCGGCGTCCTACGAGCGTGACGATGAGGATCTGGCCGGGGCGGCGAGGCGGCTTCTTGGTCGCAGGCGGGTGTGTGGTGGAAAACAGTCGACTCCCCGGCGGCAAGACGACGGTGGCGGGCAACGTTGGAGTGCGCGGCATTGCTGGGCGGATGTAGAGGCGGCGGCAGCTGCAAAGTTGCCGGTCAAAATGGATGACGGCGTCGGCGACGAAGGAGACGGACGAGGGTTGCTGTTGGTTGGGGGTGGGGGGAGGCCAATGTGCCACCGGCCAGCGGGCCCCGAGGGAGGAGAAAGCGAACGTGCGCGCGTACGTCACATGTCCGTGCCTACGCAAATCTGGTTCAAAAATAGATTAGGAATGGGTCGTCCGCGAACGAAAAGCGAACATACGTCCATTTATATCCGCGCGTTGGGCCGTGTTTTATGTCCACGTCAACTCAAACGGACGGTGGCAGACGAAATGGGTTGCCTCTTTTGAAGTTGCTCGCTATAGAGCGAATGCCACACGCGACGAACGTTGGCACGCTGGAGTGGTGTGGAGTCTAGACTAGCCACGATGCAGCTGCATCATGGTGCCAGAAAGGGTGAAATATGTTAGGTGGACGGCGGGTGGACACGGCATGTCCCCGTCGACGTGACCGCGTGTGTGCGCGCTGCCTGGCCCAAGGTGTGTGTATCTGCATGCATGACCAGATGCTGCTCCGTTGTTGTCACGAAATGAATACTGCTGCGCTGCTAGTGCTCGGTGGGCAGGCACGTCGCCACCTCCGACGTCTACCCATGGATGGCCACTGCTCGGGTTCGGCAAAGGGTAAAATAACTGTGGTTCGGTATCCGGTCGCCAAGCTGGGGCAAAGCAGTCATGCAAGAGTATAAATAAAAAGGTTGTTTAAATTGAAGAGATGGCAAATCCAACCTTTTAAATGTCTTAAATTTATATTATTACATGTAACGTAAAACCTAATCTAAGCGGAGCTCGCCTGGTTCCATCGTGCCCATGCCCAGTGGCTGGCTGCGCTCCTCAGAGTGTTAGTCCGGTCGCCAGCAAGGTAGAGTAGGGCATGGGACACAAGTCGGCTCATGCGACTCAAGGCACCGTCTTCTCCCATGCCTTACTCTTCCTCGTCGCAGTCCGGAATCCGAATGGTGTCAGTGGACGTCAGATCGATGATGGATCCGTCCCGGAACGAGCCGGCGACATCCACCATGACGCGGGTGCGACGCCCGGACTGGTGCACCATACGAGGTGCCGGAGAATGCGACTCCACCTCGCCGACGTCCACCACCGCAAAGGCTGCTGCCGTCTCCCGTGCCCGCTACCTCGCACAACGGGCACGTCGCACCATGTTTGTGTCGGACAACGCACATGGTGCATCCATGGCCTTGGCGCGCCAACGGAGGGGTTACATGATTCACCACCGCGTTCGGACGTCAAACGGACAGCACCGCCTCCGGCAAGGCAGTGATGGCACACCTAGCGCCGGATCTGAAAGCACAAGTGCTCCCTAGGTGGTTTTGATAATTGATGACAACATATCTCTTGTTGGACTAACATTTCTATCTAGCATGTTTCAGATAAGTTCAACAATGGAGTGGCATGGACTAAAGGTTGTGGGAACTCCTTCAAGATGCTAAGGACAAAGGATTGGCTAAAGCTTCAAGCTCAAGACTCTTTATTTTACATTTTAGTGATCCAAGATCACATTGAGTCCATAGGAAAAGCCAATACTATCAAGGAGGGATGATGTGTTGCTTAATGAGCCTCTTGCTTCATGTGCTTAATGATATGCTCCAAAATCCTCAGCTACTTTCCCACTTCCACATATGACCTAAACCCAAAGCCAAACTCGGACCTACCGATTATTTCTATCCGGCGCCACCGAGTTTCACCTGTCATAGCAACTGCCAGAAACCCTAATCAGTTCTGTCTCACCGATGGGATCTCGGTCTCACCGAGATGGGCTTGCAAACTCTCTGTTACCTATTGCAATATTTTCGGTCCCACGGAGATATGCAATCGGCCCCACCGAGTTTGTTTGGCCAACTCCCTGTTTCACTTATTACCCAAATCGGTCCCACCGAGTTTGAGTAATCGGTCAAACCGAGTTTTGGATTTACCCTAACCCTAGCACATCGGTCCCACCGAGTTGATCCAGTCGGTCCCACCGAAAATCTCTAACGGTCACTAGGTTTCCTATTTCGGTCTCACCGAGTTTGTTGATTCGGTCCCACCGAGATCGGTAAATCGTGTGTAACGGTTGGATTTTGTGTGGAGGCTATATATACCCCTCCACCTCCTCTTCATTTAGAGAGAGAGCCATCAGACTAAGCCTACACTTCCAGCATCCTATTTCTGAGAAAGAACTACCTACTCATGTGTTAAGGCCAAGATATTCCATTCCTACCATATGAATCTTGATCTCTAGCTTTCCCCAAGTTGCTTTCCACTCAAACCTTCTTTCCACCAGATCCAAATCCTATGAGAGAGAGTTGAGTGTTGGGGAGACTATCATTTGAAGCACAAGAGCAAGGAGTTCATTACCTACACACCATTTGTTACTTCTTGGAGAGTGGTGTCTCCTAGATTGGCTAGGTATTACTTGGGAGCCTCCGA